CCAACCCTAAAACCCATGCTCACTCAGAGTGACCCCGCAGGACACAGCAGAATCACCTCACAGGGGGCTCTCAGGCTGTCATCTTTACAGAAGCAGATCTTGAGTTATTTTCTCCTATGGAGGGAGTAGTGGGTTCGAACCCCAGACCTTTTGGTTAGCAGGCCCTTAGCCATTGCACCAGGAAACCTGAAGTTCGCATACCAGCTCCATGAATTGCTCACTGCACAGTGATCCTTACCAAACCATTTCAATTCTTGTAGATTGTTTCTTAACCTACAGCGACAAAAAGTACTTAAAGGAAATAAATGAGCCAGATCGTTATAAGAAAATCTCTCAGCCCGGCACCACATCAACAATAATAGGTGCTCAGAAAAAGTGGGTGGTTAGCTTGACCGTTTCCTCCTTGTTCTAGCTTCCATTGGTCAGGTTGGTCTGTCTGGAAAAATATTCTCTCTGCCTGAAGGTTCACATCAAATGGTCCCCAGCTGATGTTTTCGGGGCTTTTCAGCCTCATCTCTCAGGAGGACAGTAAAGTGGTACAATAAACAGAGAAATGAACCTAGAACAATTGATACTCGAGCCATATATGAGTTGGAACCAACACAAGGGCAACCAGTTTGAAGCAGTCAATAGTTTAATAAGAAACCAAAAGAAAGATTCTTCAGCACCCAGTTTTCTCCCTATCCTTCTGGCTTCACCTTGTTCTGGGAAGTCCTAAATATTGGCCAACAGAAAGAAGACTGAAACAAGAAGCATTAGGGAGGAGAGTATGATCCAGGCTGAACAACCAGAATTTGACTTTCTAGATACAAGCTCTCTGTTTTCTGGCTCTCTCAAGGAGAAATTTTCATTTCAGGGAACACAGGTAAACCATCAAACTGGAACCTTTATAGGATGTCTCATGAGAAGATGGTTACAGATGGACTCACACCTAGATTTTTCTAGAACTTGTTCCCCATACATTCCCACTCTCAAATTCTACCACAGACAAGATTTTTATTTCAAACTCAGTCTCCATTCATCTTTCTCCTACTCTCATGGTCTCCAGAAAACTGTGCTGACAGCTCACTGAAGATGTCTGTAGGTGTTATCAGCTGCTGTGGAATTGGCTTCCAACTCATGGGGATCCCATGCCCAAGAGACTGGCCAGTACTAGTTCCATGATACACTGTGGATTAGACCACTGTGATCCATAGGGTTCTAGAAAAACTATAGCTGACACTTCACTGAAGACCTATGTTGGTGTTAACACTATGGAGTAAGCTTCCAGCTCAGGGGGACCTCACCTCATGGCCCCACAAATGGCCCAGGGCCATGTCCATGATCCACTGCAGATCCTACCACTGAGATTCACAGGGTTTTCGTTGGCCCCAGTTTCTTGACTCTAGGTGCCACAAAGCACATGATGCCTGGTCCTGAGCCATCTGGATGGTTCATTGTGATCCATAGCGTTCTCATGGACTGCTCTTCTGAAACAGATCACCAGGACTTTCTTCCTAGTCCATCTTAGTCCAGAAGCTCCACTGATACCTATTCAGCACCATAGCACAACCACCACTGACACACGGCTGGTGCTGCTTATGAAGTAGACTGGCTGGGAATCAAACCCAGGATTCCTGCATGAAGGGTGAGGATGTTATCACCGAGCCACCATGGCCCTCGTGTTCCTCCTGGCTAAGGCATGCCACACTCTTCCTGTAGTCCTGGGCTTGTCCTTTTCTAAAGGGGATCCACTCAACCCAGCAGTGAAACCAATCAGTAGTCCCTGCAAATGTTAAAATATCAAGGCTACAAGACTAATCGCATCTCGATTTCAAAAAGCCAAATAACTTAGCCTTTTTTTGTTTTTTCTCTATTTAAAAGTTCTCTTTACTTTACAGAAAAGAGCCTATTTCAAATCTGTTTTTTTTATAATTTATAACTCTCCCAAGTCCCTTCAAAAGAAAGGGGGGAAAACTACTGTGAGGAGAAGGTGAACAGGGAAGAATTCATATGTATTCATTAAAAAAAGATGGGGTAGTCATGTGAATCTTCACATCCCTTTTGATCCTATTATATTTTTAATGGCAGAATCTCCCAGTGAGGGCTCGAATGGGCTGCAACCTAAATTTTAACATTCAAGGAAGCAGATGAACTTGCTGTGGTTTGTGTGAATGAATGAGAACTTGACCAGCTCAGCCCTGCCTGGGGCAACAGGTCCCTTTGCCTAGATTGGATTTGGGTCAAATAGCAAACCCTCAAAACCAGAAAATGTCAGCAGCATTTTGTTTGGCAAGAAAAATGGGTAATGAAAATGATAATCAAACCAGATCAGAGATTCTATTTCCCAAACATGAGAGCTGATTGCTAGACTCAAACTTTGGTTAGAGGGTAGCTGTCTGATCCAAGCACAGTTCGGTCCCATTCCAGAGCAAGAGAATTGGCCTCATTTAAATAGGAACTAATAAAATAAATTCAGAAAAGATGTGGTTCTCTTTGCTCCCTCATCGCTTTTGTTTCTAGATGTTTGTACAATAAATTGATGCCTTAGTCCTACTGGGAAGCTTTGGTAATGTTTCCTTAGAGCATTTTCTTCACTCCAGCTCATCTGAATTCAAATGTTTGTATTAAATATTAATGAGAGAAAAATTAATGAGGTTGCTGGAGAAGGTTAAAAAGATTTGTGTAAGGAGGGTGGGGCACAGGCTTTGTTAAGAGTAGGATTCATCATCTATTTCCCCATCAAACAGGATTTCCAAGGCTGTTTCTATGACCACCACATCTGGACACGGTCCAGCATCCCACTCAATGATGAGCATCGGAAATAAGTGTTCCTACAGAATGATGCCTTAAGGGCAAAAAGGAGAAGAAAAATTCCAGACAGCAAACAGCAACCGTGACAAAGATAACCACAAGGAATGTAAATAAAATATTATTACAAGCAGCTCACTCACCACCTCACCCTCAACAATTTCCTCCCCCAGAAATAAAGCAAAACCATAGATCCCTGTGTGTTTTAAACAGTAATTCAGCTGTTCTTTAAGAAGCATTGGTGAGCATCCAGAGTTTACTCCGCAACCCTTTTATCATCACAAGGCTGGGAGTCTACTCAGCTTATTTCAATTTGGGGATCATGAAGCTGAGCCCAAATGTTGTTAGCTGCCTGCTAACAGTGACCCTAACTCCAATTTAATCAGTGGTAACTTGTATTTACCTGATTTCGAAAGCCCAGAAAGCCCAGAATCTTTCAACATTGAACACCGAAATACAACAAATTCATTGACAACGCCAGCTACAATGAACCAGACTGGGGTCTAACTGCACATGTGTACATTTCACAGAAGGCAAGGCAGAAGTTTTTCAGTAGGGAATGATCTCCATGTGGAACGCCAGCCAGAGCGCACGTCTGCCAAGTGTCATGTGCTCTGAGCGCGCACAAGATTCCCGAAGTGAAACAGGTCGGGGACCAGGAACTTCAAAAGACACAAATCAACCAACCCTTCAGAGGCTCAGCTCACTAGGCTGTAAATGCAGCCTCCAGAAGTCTGGCAGCATCCCTCTCTGGACACTGAGCCACTCTCCCACTTAGATGGGGATCCCTCCACCTTGCCCTCTCCACCACCACCACTACCCCTGCTTTGGAAAAGAATCCCTGCCTTGAACTGAACAAGAAATTCAAAAGCCTACTGGTAATGCAGACGGCCAAAATACATTTGCATCACCTTTTGCTAATTATTCAGAATCCAATATTGATATTCTCTTAATAAGTACAAGAGACTGACTAGTCACCCACCTCCCATCTCCAAGGCCAAAGACAAGTTTTCTTGAAAGTTCTGTTGAGCCCCCCCCCCCCCCCCCCCACCCCCAGGAATTGGCCTGGTATCCCAGGCGCTGAGACAGGGAGGCAACTCCCCACAAATCACAACTCCCCATAAATCACAGGTCCAGGGAGCCTAGGGGCAGAGCTGCGCTTCCATCAAATACAATGGCTCTGTAGGCTTATCTTACTCATAGGAAAAGGCCATCCTCTCTCAGCAACTGCAGGACCGTGCCTGTTTGGAGATTTAGATTTTCATTGAACACCCAGAAACACCAGCCAAGACTCCAGGCCTTCACAGTTCTAAATCCTCAGCGGGTCTCAACCTCCAACAGTGCTGTATTTTAACCACTTAAACCCTTCTTGGAAATTTACTAGGAAACAATGTGGCTCACAGCCTGCCCAAACTTTAAGACACGGGATACAGTGAAGACTATCTGGCAAAAAGATGTCCTTGTCCCTCTTGAGAACACTTCCCCACAGAAACCAGAGTCATCAAATCCTACAGCCAGGGTAATGCCAGGTTCCATGTGTTTCTGATGGTATCCGCTTAGAAACCGCGCCCCCCCCCCTTTTTTCTCTCTGTGACCCCTCCTTCCTAAGTCCTTAGCTTCGAAATCCAAATCAAAACCCTCTGGCATTTCAGTAGACAGCAGAGGAAAACTTTTGAAGGGAAGACCTAGTACATTAACTCTTCCTGACCTAAGGTTAACTTTTGATTTTCAAAGATCTGGGCAGCCTGAGTTCAGGGGAGATGAGGAGAGAGAGACAATAAAAGGGGACAGGGAGAGGCGGGAGAAGAGAGGCAGATTATGAGCCAGCCAAGTCAAGCTTGACATTCTGTTGGACAAATGAAAGTTGGCACCACTCAATTGTTCTGTCGTTACTGGAGACGAAATAATACTAACACCCTAATAGCCGACTAGTGGAATGTGATCTAAAACTGCTGGTCAGAAAGCCCAACAGGAGACACCAACGCTCACACAAACACCACCCCTCCAAGTCAAAAGTTGTACCGCCAGAAGCCTTGCATTTGACAATTTCATGTCCCCGTACCCCAGCCGGGCGCCGGGCAAAGCACCGTGCAGTCCCCACCGCTGCGTCTTCCTATTTGCTCCTGGCACATCCCTGCAAGTGGGCAGCGGTGCCTCTGGGGCTGCGCGGGCCCAACCACCTCCTCCAGGCTGGCCCCAGGGGCTCTTACCTGCAGGCGCTCTGTGGCTGGCTGCCACATCTTCCAGCCGCGGGGTTTGCTGGAGGAGACACTAGGAGACTCTGTGGGTGGCGCCGGGGCGAGGGGCTTCGAGCCGCTTTACATCTGGAGTGGGGGGCTACGGGGGTGCGTACTGCCGGCTATAGCAGCCCAGGGGTTGTGGGGGGCGGCGAGCGGGCGGAGGAGGCGCGCGGCTGCTGGCAACTTGTGGGTTGGCGCGCCGCTGTCCTGGCGCAGCTGCGAGGGGACTGCGCAGCTCCGCCGGGCCCGCGAGCTCACGGCGCGGGGCGGCCGCTCCTCCTCCCCGCCGCCGCCCGGCCCTGCGCGCTCTGAGCATGCCCAGGGGGTGGGGGTGGAGGGCGGAAAGGAGGGGGTGACAGGGGCACCTCCCTGTGTCGGGGTCTAGAGATCCTGGGGAGCTCAGCTGGGTTGGGTACTGGTCAAGGTGGCAGGGTCGCTGGGCAGGTGGAGCTTGGAGAGCGGGGACCCTGAGGCGACCAGAAAGGTTGCCCCAGGTTGGTCTGGGCACCTTTGAAATGCTCAAGGGCTAGTTAATTGAGAGCTGTCTCTGTCTGTTGCAGACCCTGTGCTGGGCTCTGAGAACAGGAGACTGAAAAAGTCCCTCCTGTCCTGAGCATTCATCCTTGTTGAATGACCTCGAAAACATGAATGAGCTCCTGCCATGAATGAGAGGTGGTGAAGGATGGGGAGATGAGGGATGAGGAAGGAGGAAGGAGAGTTTCTTGGATTTGGAGGGGCCCAGGGAAGGTTTGGGGTGAGACCTGAAAGGTGGGAGAGACAGCGTGGAGCCGGGTAACACGCTGGACCGATGACTGCAGAGGGTAAGACCCATCATTCATTCATCCTGGGATCTGCCCAATCACTTTGTAATCATTTTAATCATTACCTTTACTAAACAGGCCTGGCCCTTGGAATTTTCCTTCCCACCCTTCCTGACAGTTCTATTGTTCCAATTTATAGAGACCCCAGATAGAGTTTCCAAGGAGCGGCTGGTGTGCTTGAACCACCAACTTTGCTGTTAACAATTCAGTACTTATCTTACAGGCCACACCAGAACGCCTAACAATTATTAAGTGGGAGGTTATTAACAGCCTTCTAGCCAGTTCTGACTCATAATGACTCTATATAGGATTCCTAAGGAGCTACTGGTAGATTTGAACCATCAATCTTACAGTTGAAACAGACCCTGCAGTCCAGTGCTTATCCTACATCACCACACCAAGACTCCTGACAATTGTTGTTAAGTGCCATTGTGTTGGTTCCAACTCATAGCCACCCTGTATAGGGTTTCTGAGGAGCGGCTGGTGACCTTGTGGTTCAAACCAACTTTGCAGTCCAGCGCATTAACCCACAAAGCCACACATTAGACACACACAAAAAAACAAAACGGACAGAACCTACTATTGTCTACTGGCCTGGGGCTCATAGCGACCCTGTAGGACAGAGCTGTTCCATGGGGAGAGGGGAGGGGTCATTAAGGCTGTAAAACTCCATGGAAGCAAACTGCCTCATTTGCCTACCACTGAGAGGCTAAATGGGTCCTAACCGCCAACCTTAACCATTTGGATTAGGATTCCAATGCTTAACCCACATTGCCACTAGTCAAAAGTAAGAATTATATTCCCATTGTAGAGATGGAACTACTGAGGCTTACGTCACCAGACCCAGGCACGCAGTCAGTGATGACAGCCCTTCCTGAGTTCTCACTCTAACAGCTGGGACTGTGGAGACTCATGGAAGGAGCCACCAATGGGGCTGTGTGGAGGGAGGAACCTGGCTGGAGGGGTCTGAGGGTGAGTCAAGGGGCACACTGGATAGAGGAGTAGATAGCAGAGGATCACAGCGTGGAGTCTAGGCTCCTGAAACAAGGGGCCGAGCAGCATGCTCCTGAGAGACATCCAGTGCTAGGTCCTAAACCACCCATGTGCTGTCACAAACAACCCCCCACCAAGCACTCCTGAATCTGGGTCTCACAGCAACTCTCTAGGACCCAAATCCAAACTCCAAACTCGATTCCAACTCACAGCCACCCTACAGGGCAGAGTAGAAGAAGCTGTCATCTTTATGGAAACAGACAATCATCTTTCTCCTTGGAGCAGTTGGTGGGTTCAAACTGCTGACCTATCAGTTAGCAGCTCAGTGCTTAACCACTGTACCACCTGGGCTTCTCTGGGGCCCAGAAACCCATATTTTTCAAGACTTGTGAAGGCAAAAGTCACAGTTAGTGATCATTCAGCTCCTAGCCAGGGTCCATTCCAGCTCTCCAGGATGCCCCTTTTGGACTGCTCCAATCAGCTATGTTACTGCCTGCCACCCAGGTCACCTGGGACCTCAGGTGTAGCAAGAGCCTTTGGCAAACTCCAGATCTGTTGCTGAAGGGCTCATCTCTTCCATTGTCCCAAGACCCCCAGTACCCTCTTAGCCCTGTCTGAAAACCTCTCCCACATCTGAAAAGCCCATCTGCTTCCCCATCTCTGGGCCCATCAGCAACTCCCTTATGATTAGATTGTGGTGTGTCAGACCCACGAGGAATACACTCAGAGGCTTGGTCATGTGGTCTCTGTTCTCAGGCACATTTATATTTCTTCAGTAATTGCACACCTAAAAGATTCCTGAAGAGAAGAACAGACCCTCCTGTACATTTTATTTTTTAAAAAACAGATCTCTATGTAGAAGAAGAGGGGCACTTCATCACAAAAATCTAGACAATCTGAATACAATATTAAACTCTCCTGAAGCTGAAACAGAAATATCCAGTTGAAGCAGCTTCCTGTGGAAAAGTGATTTTGTTTTAAATAGCAGTGGAATGAGATAACAGTCTAAATTCAAATCGCATTAGAGCGTTAAATCCTGTCTTCTCACCTCCGAACATAATTAATTGTTATGACTCAGTAATGTAGCTTTTAGTTGGGAGTATGATGCTATTTAAAGAGAAGAGGTTTGGACTCTGTGGAGATTGTTTTCTGTTAACCATTCCCACTTTGCAAACAGATTTGGAAAAGCAGAAAATGTGTTTAAACACAAAAGGTCCTCCAGCTTCAATTAACTTTATGCCAAGAATCAGGACTTTGGGTGGAGGGGTGAGGGTGGAGGCGGAGACTGATGGGCAGAGGCAAAGGGGACTGGGCAATCTCCCACGCAGATATTTTCCTCTCATTCATGAGAAACCTGCAAAGGGTGAATGAAACAGAGACATCTACTGGCCACAGGTGGGACCTGCACCTTCAGGTCTCAAGCTCTGGTCTGGAGTGTTGGGAACCTCGCCCTCCCTCATAGGCGTGAAAGTACAGTTCTCAATGTCAAAGGTCTGCTCAGAACCAAGAACCATTAAGTGGAAGGTGTCTTGTGCAGTGGTCAGAACATTAGGCACATTGTTGTTTCTTGTTGTTAAGTGCTGTTGAGTTGGTTCTAACTCATAATGACTCTGTATAGGGCAAGGAGCAGATGGTGGGTTTGAACTGCCGACCTACAACGCCACATCAGGCATATAGTATTGCCTAATGTCAAATACTTGTTGTTGTCATATACTTATTGTTAAGTGCTGTAGAGTCAGTTCCGACTCATTTGTTGTTAGCTGCCATCGAGTCAGTACCGACTCATAGCGACCTTATGCACAGCAGAACGAAACACTGCCTGATCCTGGGCCAACCTCACTACTGTTGCCACACTTGAGTCCATCGATGCTGCCACTTGGCCAATCCATCTCGCTAGGGGTCTTCCTCTTTTTCTCTGACCCTCCACCTTACCAAACATGATACTCTTGTCCAGCGACTGGTCCCTCCTGACAATATGTCCCAAGTATGAGAGACGAAGTTTGGCCATCTTGGCCTCCAAGGAGCACTCTGGCTACACTTCTTCCAAAACAGATCTATTGGTTCTTTTGGCAGCCCATGGCACTTTCAGTATTCTCCTCCAACACCATAACTTAAAGGCGTCAATTCTTCTATGATCTTCCTTATTCACTGTCCAGCTTTCTCATACATATGAGGTTATTGAAAACATGGCACACTGAGTACTAATGACCAAAGACCAGATACGTTGTGGGAAGACACCATACATAAAGAAAGCAAAAGGTCATGAAAAGACAGAAAAGGAAAGCCAGGATCAAAATGGCTATCAGAAAAACCCTGATATTTGCATCTTTGGAGCTGTTGTTAAGTACCATTGAGTAGGTTCCGACTCATAGAAAACCGGAAGCAAGAAAACAAAATAGAAGATTTGGAATTGCCAGTTCAAGAAGATAACGTATTGTAATCAAATGTACAAAGAAATGGAGGTAGAAAACCAAAAAGGGAAATACACTCTGCATTTCTCAAGCTAAAAGAATTGAAGAAAACATTCAAGCCTCAAGTTGCAGTAGTGAAGGATTCTATGCTCAGGAAGTTAAACAGTGCTGGTAGCATCAAAACAAGACAGAAGGAATCCTCAAAGTCTCTGTCTCAAAAATCGTTCATGTCCAACGATGCTTGTGAGGATGACATAGGATTGAACAGTATTTCCCGCGTAGAGTCATTATGAGTCAGAACCTATTTAACAGCATAACAACAACGCAGTCTAGGTCACGGTCCTGAGCCCTTAGGAAAGCAGCTGACATACGCATTTCAGGACTGTCATGAATTAAATTGTGGTCCAGTATGTGAAATAACATTAAAATATGACACAACCATTAAAGAGGATAATTTTGAAGCTGTGCTGCATCTGAAAAAAAAAAAGTGCTCATAATTACAGATTTTTAAAAGTAGGTTGTTATTGTCAAGTGCCATTGAGTCGCTTCTGACTCATAGTGACCTTGTACAGGGTTTCCAAGGAATAGCGGGTAAGTTTGAACCACTGACCTTGTGTTTTGAACCAACTTCGCAGTCCAGTGCTTTATACTATAGCACCACACCAGGACTCCAAAAGTAAGCTAAAATGTGTATCATTTGAGTGAATTATAAAATACGTATCTGTCTTTCTTTGTTGTTGTTATGTGCCATTGAGTCGGTTCCGACTCATAGCGACCCTGTACAGGGTTTCCGAGACTG